CAGAGGAGACTGTGAGGTCCCTCACAGAAGAACAACTTTTGGTCAGAACACTCTCTCTGTGAGAGCCACTAACATCTGGAACAGTCTTCCTCTGCACATACGGGAGAGCCCTACACTGATCAGCTTTAGAGCTCAACTCAAACTACAGATGAAAACAAACCAGTCATGTAACCACTAAACTCTTAACATTTCCTTCTGATGCTTGTATTGTATATTATGTTCTTTCTTATGTATAGGGTCTACGGATGAAAACTAGCTTTGTAGCTATAATCCGGCATATTTACATTTGTTTTTATACTGATGTTCATTAATGTGCATCGTCCCTATTCAAATAAATAAATAAATAAATAAAAAAAGACATGCCTTTAATCTATGTAATGGGTTAGCTTCATCTGTTTTATAGACAGATACAACTGGGTATCCTTAGTATAACAGGGAAAAATATTTCCCATGCTGTCTAATAATTCTACCGATTGGGAGCATGTATAAAGTAAAGAGAATTGGTCCTAGCACTGATCCCTGTGGTACTCCACAGGTAACCTTTGAGCATGAGGAAGATTTATCATAAACTTAAACAAACTGAAATCGATCAGATAGATAAGATTTAAATAATTCTAGAGCTGTTTCTTTAATTCTTACAAAATATTTATGTCCTTCTAAAAGAGTATTATGATCAACTGGATCAAATGCAGCACTGAGATCCAACAGGACGAGCACAGATACAAGTCCGTTATCTGAGGCCATGAGAATATCATTAGTGACTTTCACCAGAGCTGTTTCGGTGCTATGATGAGCTCTAAAAACAGACTGAAACTCTTCAAAAAGTAAATTATGGTGTAAGTGATCGTAAACGCGTTTGGCAACTACTTTCTCAAGGATTTTAGATGAGAAAGGAAGATTGGATATAGGTCTATAATTGACCAAGTCATCTGGGTCAAGGGACGTTTCTTAGGCAAAGGTTTAATTCCAGCAACCTTAAAAGCTTTAGGTACATATCCCTGTAACAGAGATAGATTAATCACATCTAAAATGGAGGAGGAGATCAAAGGGAATACCTCCTTAAATAACCTGGTTGGAACTGGATCTAAGATCCAAGTTGAAGGCTTAGGTGAAGACAATAGTTTTGCTAACTCTGAAAGTTCAACTGGATCAAAGCAGTCTAAACCCGGTTCAGATTCCATGACTACCTCAGATGCTGCCTCACCTTAAAAAGACAATGTTAATGATTTGTGTTTCAATCTGTGCCTTTGAATCTGTGATCCTGTCAAGCGATTTCCTCTTTACAATAAATGACAATATTGCAATAGGTAAATATTTTCAATCACTTCAACTTTTTTAAAGAGCTGACCTATTAAAGATCAGTGTTATAAATTAAAGAATCAGACCATATCTTAACTAATAAATGATCTATTAAAACATTTTTTTAAACAGTGTCCTGTCTGGCAATGTGGCAATAAGAATAATTGTCTTGATGCCAGAAAGAGCCCAACAGATTTGACTTTCACAAGTGGAGCAGTACCGTTATCACCATAGTGTTCCACTTGATTTATGCATACAAATAGCTTTATTATACTTATGCAGGGAGTATTACAGACTATATGGACACTGCGATGTAAGTAGAACAGGAAAGGAAAAACAGAAAAAAGGGAGAAATGTAATGATCCAGTCAGAAGACCCAAAGTTTCAGCCAGAACACAGAATAAGGATTTAAACAGTTTATTAAAAACTCAGGACATCAGGAGCACATCCACCGTGGGTCAGGGATTTCTTAAAAGAGTCCTCCCTTCAGCAGCATGAATAGAGCAGATTTCTCCTTAAAACTGTTGTTGGGTGGCCAACAGTTGGGTGGCTTGGAGCACAGAGGCAGGAATTAGGTCCAGGAAGCCAGACTCAGGCTTTAGTGAACAGGGAGCTTGGCAGGAGGCAGAAGTCAAGAGGCAGAAACAGGGTCGTTGTCCAGAGGGCAGAGAAATCCAAAAAGGGCTAGGCAAAAAGGGAAAATCCGTGAAGCAAAGACTTGGTCAGGTAACTTTAAGTGCTGGATACTGCTTGCTAGTTGGTTTGCAATTATCTGGCCCTGTCTGCCTGCCACAGGCTGTCTTATAACTGCTTGAACACAGGTGAGAGACATTCTGCTGATTGCACTGCAGTGCAGCAGGCAGCAGCTGGAGATGATTGCTCACAGGGAGAGCAGAGCAGAGCAGACAGGCCAGAATCATAACAAGAAAAGATGAAAGAAAAAGGAGATAAAAGGGAGATAACAATAAAACATCTTCAGTCTGCTTCATCAGCTTCAAAGAGATGTAAAAAGAACAGAACAACCAACAGACATGATACAAGACATACGATAAACTAAAACCTAGATACTATCGCTGAAGTATAAGTAGTATTATTTAATGTCATTGCATTACCTGGAGCCAAGCACTTGTAATTGTTTGTGAGAGTGCACTTGCACATGTATAGTTTATCCATTGAAAAATGCTCAATTGTGGTTGTGAAGAGCCAAAGAGCCAATCACGCCTTCCCACCCTAGTGCCCCCACTCACAACACACAGTCTCTATGAAGATGAGCATAAAAAACACATGACACTCACATCCAATAATCCCAGGACCAAGGACCTGGCGCCACAGTTGGTCGGTCCCGGGATTATCGGATGACCCAATAAGTGAACTTAAAATCGGGATGGGGAGGGGAGCGGCGTCACCGTCACACTTACCCATCTCTTTCCGGCTTCGGGCCTGGCCCCCCACCCTGCACCCAGACCAGATAGCCCCCAGCAAAAGCCAGCCCCCGGCAACCGTTCCCACACAGGCACAGGCCACCCAAATGCGAGAGGGGGTGGGGGGAGCCAACTAAGGTGAGACCCATGAAATAACCCTCCCCACCCCCCACCCCCCGATGCCCTTGCCCCCCACCCCTGCAGATAACGGCCTACATAGATGTGTGTTTAAAATAAAATCGGGGTCAGGGACGTCATCAGTAAGTGGGGCCCTCCAGTAACGACCCCCTCCCCAAGAACCTACATGTGTCGCAGTGTGATGGAGCAGGCAGAGGGAGGAATCTGGGGATGGGGAGCAAAGGACTGGGGGGCTTACTGCACTCCCAGGGAGCCAGCACCCCACTGATTCCAATAGGCACCCCCTTCCCCGAGAGCGGAAGGGGGTGCCTATTCAGTCACACCCCCAATGGGGGTAACAGACCCCGGGGTCAGACCCCAATCTAAGCGCCCCCCAGATCCCCCCAGGACCCTAGGACCCTCTAACCAGCCCCTGCGCCCCGCAGGATGCGCCCCACAGCCCCCACTACACTAGTGATGGTTCCAATCAAGGGAGCCCAGAGAGATCAGTCTGATGGGGAGATGGGGACGCATGAACATAATTATCAAAATGATTGCCTGTGCACTGTGGACAGATATGTACGTGGGCTACTTTAATAATTGGCAATCCATTTGGGGAAAACCTGGTCTGATTCGGAGAGACGGCATCCATCCCACTTTGGATGATGCAGCTCTTTAGTCCTCCAAAACCCTGACCCCCCAGGGTGCAGACCAGGTAGCAGAGTTGTAGTTTAACATACCTCTCTTCAGCTTCTCTACAGTTACCCACTCTTTACTCCATCCAGACAGTGTCTTGCCCACGACCAAAATCTAATAAATTAGCAAATATTCCCAAAGGAGTAAATCATGATGATCGAATTAAAATTAATGTAACTCCAATTGGGAAAAAAGTTAAAGCTATTAAATGTGGTCTGTTTAACATAATATATCTTTCCTCTAAGTCTACTAGTTAATGACTTGATTTGTGATAATCACATTGACTTATGTTGCCTTACAGAAACCTGGCTGCAGCAAGAGGATTATGTGAGCATAAATGAGGCAACTCCTTCAAGCTATTTAATTTTTCACATACCCAGAAGTTTTGGATGAGGAGGAGGAGTAGCAACAATCTTCCAGTCTGACTTACTGATTACTCCCAAAACAGTTAATACCTACAACTCTTTTGAACATTTAACCCTTAATTTCCCTGATCCAAATTTCAAGGCAAGAAAACCTCTTCTTTTTGTAACTTTGTATCGTCCACCAGGTCCTTACTCTGAATTTTTAGATGAGTTTTCAGAGTTCCTTTCTGATTTGGTATTAAATACTGACAGGGTCATCATAGTGGGAGATTTTAACATCCATGCTGACATTGAAGGCGATAGCTTAAGAGCAGCCTTTAATGCTATCTTAGACACTATTGGCTTTGTTCAAAATGTGAATAGTCCCACACATTCTCATCTTCATACTTTGGATCTTGTGCTGACATACGGCATAGAATGTGAAGAAATAAAGTATTTCCTCACAACCCTGTCCTCTCTGACCACTTTCTAATAACCTTCAGGATTACTTTAACAGAGTTCTCCTCCCCCAAAAGAAGGTTCAATTTTAGTAGATCATTATCAGGGAGTGCAGTTATAGATTTTAAAGAATACTTTCTCCTCTTTTTCGTTGAGTGCAAAAGCTTAGCTTATTCCCCTTCACAGGTTGATGATTTTGTTGATGGGGTTGCTAGTTCTCTGCGTATTGCCTTAGACAACCCAACTTCTTTGAAAATGAAAACCGTTAAAAATAGATAGCTGGGACCCTTTGTAAAGCAAGAGCAGCATGCTTCACCTCATTAATAGAGGAGAATAAGAATAATCCTATATTTGTTTTTAATCCAGTTGCCAAACTCACCCAGAGCCATAGCTTAGTTAAACCGTCCATTCAACCTACTCTTAGAAGTAATGATTTTATGGGATTCTTTATAAATGGGATTGATCTTATTAAAAATAAGATAATTAGCACTCCTCTATCCGCGATTGTACCTGAGGTAGTCATGGAATCTGAACCAAGTTTAGACTGCTTTGATCCAATTGAACTTTCAGAGTTAGCAAAATTGTTGTCTTCATCTAAGCCTTCAACTTGTATGTGACATGATTCTAGAGTTGACTCTGGCGCAGACACAACACGAAACTGGAAGCGGTTTAGATAGTTTATTGAAAAGTTTTGACAGAGAGATAGTTTTTGGATCGGCGAAGATTCTCAGGAAACAGCAGCTTAATCAGGAACTGCACAGAGAGAGAGATCAGTTAGATTCGGGCTAGGGAACTGAGTTAACTAGAAAAGATGCAAACTCCTTACAGGTCGATGGAGAGCGGAGCAGATGGAGGGGAGATTGGATGAGCCCACAGAGATTGAGTTTGGCTGAGTGTCGGGTTTCGGCTTGAGAGCTCCAGAGGGTGGACAGGCAGGTGAGCAGCGGAGGACGGATCCAGGAGGACTGAGAAGAGAGCCGGCTTGGAACTGCAAGGCTTCTAGGGAACAAGGAAGACAAGGAGGTGAGCTTGAGCCAAGACACAGAGTTCACTTTAAGACGAGCTAGCTGGTAAGTTACCACTGCGTGGAAATTAACCGACTGGCGTCCGTCCCAGGAAATCCACTCCTCTAAATACTGCTCCCTGATTGCGTCCAATTGGAACCAGCTGGAGGCTCTTCTGGGCTGGAGACTCTGAGGAGGAAAGGTAAGAGAAACCCTAACACAGCTCAGCACACAATCCTGAGGGCCCAACAGTACCCCACCCTCAAGGGACGCCACCTGGCGGACGAGCAGAAGAAGACGCTGAACGGCGCTCAAAGTCAGAGATGAGCGCGGGATCCAGAATGAAGGAGCGCGGAACCCAGGACCGCTGCTCCGGACCATAACCCTCCCAATCAACCAGATATTGGCAACCCCGACCTCGGGGACGGACATCCACAATGCGACGCACAGTGAAGGCAGGGTGGCCGTCAACGATCCGGGCGGGTGGAGGGGGCCTGGATGGAGGGCACAGAGGGCTGGAAGATACTGGCTTGATTTGGGAGACATGAAAGACGGGATGGACGCGAAGGTGAGAAGGGAGCTTCAGGCGGACAGTGGTAGGACTGATGACGGCTTGGACTGAGAAAGGGCCCAGAAACCTGGGAGACAATTTTCGGGAGCACCCCTTAAGAGGAAAGTTCTTAGATAAAAGCCAGACCTTTTGTCCAGGAGAATAAACTGGGGCAGGGACGCGTCTGCGGTCTGCAAACTTCTTGTTCTGGGCAGCCGTGCGGTTGAGGGCTGCTCTGGTCTGGTCCCAGATGCGGCGACAGGCCTCCATGTGGCCCCTTACAGAGGGGATGACAGTGTCTGGAAAAGAAGAGGGGATGAGGGATGGCTGATAGCCAAGAGAAGCTTCAAACGGAGACAACCCAGAGGCAGCGGAGATGTGACTGTTGTGGGCATATTCAACCCAAAGCAAATGTGTGCTCCAGGAGGAGGGGTCGTTGGCGCAAACGCAACGTAGTGCGTTTTCTAGTTCTTGGTTCAGCCTTTCACATTGGCCATTGGTTTGGGGATGAAACCCTGACGAGAGACGAGATTTGGCCCCCAGGATAGAGCAAAAGTCCCTCCAGACACGAGAAATAAATTGAGGACCTCGGTCTGATAGAATCTCTGAGGGGATGCCGTGAAGTTTAAATACATGAGAAAATAGGAGGCGAGCGGTTTCAGCAGCAGAAGGAAGCTTGTTAAGAGGAATTAGGTGGCAGGCTTTGGAAAATCTGTCTATGACTGTCAGGATGACTGTCTTATTTTTAGAGATAGGAAGACCAGTGACAAAATCTAGTGCTATATGTGACCAGGGCCGACTAGGGACTGAGAGGGGCTGCAGGAGACCAGCTGGAGGGCGGTGAAGATTTTTTCCACGTGCACATGTGGAACAGGCAGAGACAAACTCTAACACATCCTTGTTGAGGGAAGGCCACCAGAAATAGCGGCGGAGCAAACCAATGGTACGGCTAGCCCCTGGGTGACAGGAGAACTTAGAAGAATGAGCCCATTGGATGGCCTGAGAACGGGTTCTGGCCGGAACATAGAGGCGGTTTGGAGGTCCCCCCCCAGGATCGGGCTCGGCCTTCAAGGCTGCTTCAATGGCCCTCTCCAGATTCCAGGATAGCCCCCCTACCACGCAGGATGGTGGAAGGATCGGTTCAGGGGTTTTAGAGAAATCATCTGAGGCAAACTGTCTGGACAGGGCATCAGGCTTAATATTACGTGACCCAGGACGATAGGAGATATTTAGGTTGAATCTAGAAAAGAACAAAGTCCAGCGGGACTGCCGGGAGTTAAGCCTCTTAGCGTTCTGGAGGTAGGACAAATTCTTATGGTCAGTCCAAACGACCACTGGGAGTTCTGAGCCTTCTAGCCAGTGTCTCCACTCTTCAAGAGAGAGTTTGATGGCTAGGAGCTCTCTGTCTCCAATGTTATAATTTCTTTCAGAGGGAGAGAATCTTTTAGAAAAGAAGGCGCATGGATGGAGCTTACCATCTGCTGGGGACCGCTGGGAGAGTACAGCCCCAACACCAGTATCTGATGCATCTACCTCCATGATGAATTGAGCCGAGGGATCAGGATGAATAAGAATGGGTGCCTTAGAGAATTGGGTCTTGAGCTCAGAGAAGGCTTTTTCAGCTTCAAGGGTCCAGATGAAGGGTCTCTTGGTGGAGGTTAGGGCGGAGAGGGGAGCGGCGATGACGCTGAAGTTTCGTATGAACCTCCTGTAGAAGTTGGCAAATCCAAGAAACTGCTGAAGCTGCTTTCTGGTTTCAGGGGTTGGCCAGTCCAACACTGCCTTGATCTTGGCTGGATCCGTCTTCACCTGTCCACCCTCAAAAACAAAACCAAGAAAAGAGATTGAAGGAACATGAAATTCACACTTTTCGGCCTTAACATACAGGCGATTCTCTAGCAAACGGTGGAGAACCTGTCTGACGTGGGTCTTGTGTTCCTCCAAATCTCTGGAAAAGATCAGGATGTCGTCTATGTAGACAAAAACGAAGATGTTTAGAAAGTCCCTCAGGACATCGTTTACGAGGGCCTGAAAAACTGCTGGGGCATTAGAAAGACCAAAAGGCATGACCAGATATTCAAAATGACCGATGTGAGTCTTGAAAGCGGTTTTCCACTCGTCCCCCTCCCGAATACGGACCAGGTGGTAGGCATTTCGGAGGTCGAGTTTAGTGAAAATGGTGGCTTGGCTTACGGGTTCAAAGGCGGCGGATATGAGAGGAAGAGAGTATTTGTTTTTGATGGTGATCTGATTTAGTTCCCGATAATCAATGCAGGGGCGGAGAGTCTTATCTTTTTTTTTCTCAACAAAGAAGAATCCAGCCCCAACTGGAGATGAGGAGGGACGGATGATACCTGCTTCAAGAGAACTGTTAATATAGTTCTCCATGGCCTGACGTTCAGGTCTGGATAAGTGGTATAGTCGGCCTGAGGGAAGAGGGGCGCCAGGAAGAAGATTGATGGCACAATCATATGGTCGATGAGGAGGCAAGGAGAGGGCTAATTCTTTACTGAAGACGCGTTGTAGATCATGATAATCTGGTGGAACTTTAGAGAGGTCAGCTGGAGGTTGCTGGGGATTGGACACAGAACTCTGAGGAGGGAGTGCTGAGCGGAGACAGCTATTAGAGCACTCAGGACTCCAGGACTCAATGCGGGATAGAGGCCAGTTTATTTGGGGATTATGTCTGATTAGCCAGGGGTAGCCCAAAACCACTGGGGAATTCTTAGTGGGAAAAACCAAAAATGAAATCTGCTCGTGATGGTTGCCTAGGGACACAAACTGAAGAGGTACAGTCTGATGAGTAATGGTTTTGAGAGCGCTGCCATCTAAGGCTGACACAAAAATAGGAGTTGGGAGTCTTTGAACTGGAATCTTATATTGGTGAACGAGATCAGGACTGATGAGATTCTGTTCAGAACCGCAATCCACTAGGGAGAGCACGGGGAGGCTTTTATGGTCTAGGCAGATGGATGAGTGAAAAGTTAAGCGGAGGTTGTCTTGAATCATGGTTTTGCCCGCCAGTACCCCCAGATTTACTGACGGGCAAAGGCTTTTGGGCGAACCGGACAGGTGGAAATAAAGTGACCAGAGTGGCCACAATACAAACAACACCCTGAAGACAACCGCCGTTGGCGTTCTTCAGGTGAGAGCCGAGCTCTGCCAATCTGCATTGCTTCAGGAGAAGGTGGCCGAGGCTGAGACTGAGGGCTAGGAGTCATAGCAAAAGCTTGGTGCGGGGAAGCTATATTTCTCTGACGGTTCCTTTCTCTGAGCCTATTGTCAATTCGGATGGCTAGATTAATTAACTGGTCTAAGGTTTCTGGTTCCTCTCGGCAGGCTAATTCATCCTTAAGCTTTTCACTAAGGGAATGTTGGAACGCCCCCTTGAGGGCTGTCTCGTTCCAACCTGAGTCGGCGGCTAGAGTGCGAAACTCAATTGCCAATTCGGCAGCCGACTTGTTTCCCTGTTTCAGAGTCCATAATTTTTTGGCTGCTTCTTCCTCCCCAACATGCAGGCAAAATGTTTGTTTGAATAAATCCAAAAATTCTCTGAAGGAGTATTCATCAATGTTAGATTCATCAATTATTGCTTCTGCCCACCTTAAAGCCTTGTCTCTGAGCAGGCCGATGACGTAGGAGATCTTGTTGGCGTCATCCGGAAATGACTGCGGGGACCGCCCGAACACTAGGGAGCACAGTAGCAGGAATCCTTTGCTCTTGTTCAGGTCGCCGCTGAATGGCTCCGGGGTGGGCAAAACAACGTCTCTAGGCATGGGAGACCTGGAAGAAGCTGCAGAGCCAACAGGTAAGTACGGTTTCGGAGGAGAAGGAGACGGCAATTTAGAGCTTAATTCCTGTACTTGGAGTGACAGTTGGCTAAGGGTTTGCATGAGTGAGGTTTGTTGCTGAGCAATAGTAGAGATAGCCGAATCGTGCCGGCCGAGGAGAACTCCCTGTTCAGATAGAGCGGTTCGTAGTTGTGCTGCAGAGTCTTGCTGGCCAGTCGGTTCTGACATGATTCTAGAGTTGACTCTGGCGCAGACACAACACGAAACTGGAAGCGGTTTAGATAGTTTATTGAAAAGTTTTGACAGAGAGATAGTTTTTGGATCGGCGAAGATTCTCAGGAAACAGCAGCTTAATCAGGAACTGCACAGAGAGAGAGATCAGTTAGATTCGGGCTAGGGAACTGAGTTAACTAGAAAAGATGCAAACTCCTTACAGGTCGATGGAGAGCGGAGCAGATGGAGGGGAGATTGGATGAGCCCACAGAGATTGAGTTTGGCTGAGTGTCGGGTTTCGGCTTGAGAGCTCCAGAGGGTGGACAGGCAGGTGAGCAGCGGAGGACGGATCCAGGAGGACTGAGAAGAGAGCCGGCTTGGAACTGCAAGGCTTCTAGGGAACAAGGAAGACAAGGAGGTGAGCTTGAGCCAAGACACAGAGTTCACTTTAAGACGAGCTAGCTGGTAAGTTACCACTGCGTGGAAATTAACCGACTGGCGTCCGTCCCAGGAAATCCACTCCTCTAAATACTGCTCCCTGATTGCGTCCAATTGGAACCAGCTGGAGGCTCTTCTGGGCTGGAGACTCTGAGGAGGAAAGGTAAGAGAAACCCTAACACAGCTCAGCACACAATCCTGAGGGCCCAACAGTATGTTAGATCCAGTTCCAACCAGGTTATTTAAGGAGGTATTCCCTTTGATCTCCTCCTCCATTTTAGATGTGATTAATCTATCTCTGTTACAGGGATATGTACCTAAAGCTTTTAAGGTTGCTGGAATTAAACCTCTGCTTAAGAAACCGTCTCTTGACCCAGATGACTTGGTCAATTATAGACCTATATCCAATCCTTCTTTCTTCAGATAATGGACTTGTATCTGTGCTCGTCCTGTTGGATCTCAGTGCTGCATTTGATCCAGTTGACCATAATATTCTTTTAGAAAGACTTGAATATTTTGTTGGAATTAAAGGAACAGCACTAGACTGGTTTAAATCTGATCTATCTGATCAAATTCAGTTTGTTCACTTTAATGACAAATCTTCCTCATGCTCAAAGGTTACCTGTAGAGTACCACAGGGATCAGTGCTAGGATCAATTCTCTTTACTTTATATATGCTTCCAATCCGTAGAATTATTAGTCAGCATGGGATTTCCACTGTTATACTGATGATACCCAGCTATATCTGTCTATAATCCAGATTAAGCTAACCCATTACATAGATTACAGGCATGTCTGAAGACATAAAAACCTGGATGACTCTTAACTTTCTCCTTCTGAATGCAGAAAAAACAGAAGTTATAGTCTTTGGACCAGAGTCTTTGAAAAAGAAGCTGATTAGTCAGTCACTTAATTTGGATGGGATTAAACTGATTTCAGATAATAAAGTAAAATATTCACAAACTGTAGTGAAAAGCCTTCAGCTGATCCAAAATACTGCAGCCAGAGTTCTGATGAAAATTAAAAAGAGAGATCATATCTCTCCTATCCTGGCTTCTCTTCATTGGTTTCCTGTTAAATCCAGAATAGAATTTAAAATCCTCCTTCTCACATATAAAGCCTTAAATGGCCAAGCTCCATCTGATATCAGAGATCTGATTGTTCCTTATGTTCCTAACAGAGCACTTCGCTCTCAATCTGCAGGGAGGCAGATCTTTTTGTTGGGATCTGGAGATCTATCACCTTTCTCCAGCAGAGAGCGCTGTGGGTCTCCTGGGCTGGAGCCCTCAGCACACCTGAGGATCATCAGCCCATCATGAGACCTCCTTCATAAGCAGCAGTCAGACCTTCCTTCAACGCCGCAGTGTTGACCAAGTTTGGTTAGCGAACCTGAGCCTCTGTTAATCTTAAGAATCTTAGTTGCCTCTAGAGAGAAACTTGATTCTAACCTGCCTCTGTCTTCTTGCTCACAGAAAGCCCCACTGAAGTCTGAAGCTCGGGATGAGCTTTGCCTGTAAACCTGCCTGCCTGCTCTAGGAAGCCAAACCTGAAGATTTCAGTCTGGACTTCACCAACTGCTCTCAAGGGAGAGCTAGAAACTCAAGTCAAGGTTTGAAACTCACAAGCCAGAAGCTAGACGCTGCTGCTGCTGAGCTCTCTGCTGAACCTACAGTCTCTGGACCCAACCGGTTCCCTCCCTCACAAAAGATCTGTCAGAACCTCTTCAAGGTATATTCCACTGCATGAAAAGTGGGATTTTCGTCAATATACGGCACTGTAGATTGTCGTGGAACTTCAGGTTAGCGGCAGTTTACGGCAATTTGCAGGCTTCGCCGAAAACTCCCGTAAATTGTCAGAAATTGATGTGGAATTTGTTAGGCAGTGTTCCCCCCATGCCTCCCCCCCATGGAATTCTAGGGGAGGCTTTAACATGTAAATGAACATGCTGTGAGCTATACAAATGCAAACCAGGGTTGCAGGGGGGGTTTTACCCCAAGTGACATCTTTCTGGGTAAGAAAATCTCTGATACAAAGAGATCAGGCTCAGTATAGCCTCTTACATTTTAGCTTGAATTGATTTATTTAATTAAAGTATAGAGACCAAAACAGATCTTTAGCTGACAGAGCAATACATTTAGAGCAGTAATTATTTTTAAAGAAATTTGCATTTAAGAGAAAAAATAAAATGTTGTCTGTCAATATGCTCAATTCACAATTACTTAAGTGGAAAAGTTTCAAGAAATGATTCTGAGATGATTCACTTTATAACATGGCGCATTATCCTGTTGGAAGTAGCCATCAGAAGATTGGTACACTGTGGTCATAAGGACATAGGTCAGCATGCTAAATTGGTATTAAGTGGCCCAAAGTGTGGCAATAAATATCCCCCAAATAGATGGTAGAAATAGATCAGGCTCAGTATAGCCTAATTATAGACTCTTACATTTTAGCTTGAATTGATTTATTTAATTGAAGTACGCTAGATTACTGTGTATGCAAATGTTATGTAAAAAAAATACACAAAATAATTTACTTCAAAAATTAGTTTTAATCAGAATCAGTTGGCTGTAATGGTTAATTTTTTTTTTTTTAGATTTCCACTTTTTTTTTTGTTATTGAATATATAAGAAAACAATAACAATCTCAAATAAGTCAATAACAAATATTTCAATACAAGAAGAAATATCACAACTCCTGCTTTTGAAAAATAAAATTAAATGCACAGGCTGGAACAAAGTATAAAATAAAATAAATAAAAATAAATAAAATAATAATAGTATTTAAAGTAAATTAATCAGTGGGGACTACCAACTGAAATTCTTCAATTAACTCAAACAATTTAATTGCATTTAAATTCTGCATCTTTCTCAGACATCTTTTGAAAAGGGAAAGTTCATTTTTGAGAGCAGAGATTGAGAGGGAGCATTTTGCATAGCGACATTTATGGATATAATACTTTGTTACAATTATTAGAATATTGATTAAAAATTCCAATTTTTTTTTCTTTAATGGATAAACCGAATTGAATGTTTTGCCAGGAAATAAAATCTAAATTTATTGTTTTAGAAGACAGAAAGGTTCGAAGGTGATCCCATAAGTTTAATACTTCTTTACATTCATAAAAAAGATGTTTAGTTGTTTCCAATTGAGTTGTACAAAAGCCACAATTCTCAACATTAAACTTAAATCTCTCTCTTAAAAACTCATTTGAAGGATATATGTTATTTATTATTTTAAATTGTAATTCTTTATATTTAGGAGGAATTGGGAATTTCAAATAATTTGTCCTAATTTTGACTATCATAGATTGCTTAAAATTTTGTAAGAGAGCTGTGCTTTTTGTTCTTCCTGGGTACATATTATTTATAGAATATTGATTCAAAAACTTGTTGGTGCATTTATTATCTCTAATGTCCACCTGCTCAAATTCAATCTTATGGAGACAAACAATTGCAATTGCAAACAATTTATAGGTGCATTACCGCCACCTTCCAGAATGGAGCGACGCAAGCTCTTCTCGCGAGTCCTTCCGTATAACAATGACGTCGTATGTGATTGGAGGAGCCTGATGAGCCTTCGGCCCCATCGTCCAATCACGTGTGAGCTTTTGTGCACTACGACTACTTGCGAGACCAGCATATTAGCAGACATGTTTGTGTTACTATACTCAGAAGAACTTCATCTCCAGTTACCGTGTTTGTATTTTGTTGTTACGTGAACAATGGCTGCACGACGTCTCGCGTTCAACTCGCCTCCAACTGCTCTTAGTCCACAACTTTCGGCCAGCCTGCAGACTGACGAGAAGAAACTGCTGATTGCTATCAGCGGACTGTCTCGTCAGCTTACCCATACTGCCGACATGAATGAGCGCCTCACTCAGCTGGAGAATTCGATGCACTCCAGGTTGCAGTCCATAGAGGACAAGATGGCGGCTCTGCAGTCGAGCAACTTTGCGGGATATACGAACTCGAGGAAGAGAAGACGGGTGCACAACGCCACGCTAGCGGTAAATATATGTTCGATTACTGGTAGCTATGCTAAAAGCAGCCTAGCTTAGCTAGGCAAGCTAAAGACAACCTAGCCTAGCTAGGTAAGCTAAAAGCAGCCTAGCCTAAAGCTTTATTAAAGTGTATTTTTTGTGATTCACAGGAAGCAGTATGCCGTCTTAACAACTCGCAGACTAATTGCAGGCGCTATGAACCGGAGCAGGGGTAAGGTTTAAAGAATATGCTTTCATTCTGCGGTAAAAGGACATGGATACGGATAAATACCGACCATAGCTGTACTTTTTTTTTTTTCACAGACTACAGTCGCCTCACAATGAGGCGGTGACCTCCTATTTGCCATCTCGGCAAGTCCAGATTTGCACAATGTTGATAAAGACGACATTGTGTGTAAGTGACTTGTTTTATTGTTTTCTCCTTCCTTGTTACTGTGACTTGCGTTTGATTTTTTTTTTTTTATTCATACCACTCTCATTTAATTGTTTGCCAGCTGCCTGTAAGACGTATTATGAGACGGTACGCAGGAGCTTCAGATACACGCTGCTAGCCAACACGCTGCGTACGGAGGCTGCCAGGCAATCTGCTCGGAGTCGGGCCAGAAGAAAGAGGGTAAGACTTTATTTGGTGACTATTTTTCAGGTGCATTGATAGATGTGTTGTGTCCATATGCAGTGCGCTGATTCATTGTTTTTTTTTTCAGCTGCTGAAGGCGAGGCAGAGTGTGCTGGCAGATGAGGAAGTGGAACTCTGGAAGTCCGCCACCGTCGACCTCATGTCCGACGAAGAAGATGGCGTCGTCGGCGGTGTCTCTGGATGGATTGTACGGTCGCCGCCATTTCGTAGGCCGGATCTCACTGAACTCTGTGTTAAGCTGCAGTCCCGGTTAGAAGCGATGCCGAAGTACAGGGCCACGCACAGTAGGCGTCTGCACATCGGACCTGCCTCGGAGGGAATGCTGCCTGTTACCTCCAACCCCGAGGAAGCAAACGGACCGTTCACGGAGTTGTAATTTTTAGATACGCATGTGTTTGGATACGCGTTGTATATAGTTGTGTTTGTTTTAATAAAGCTCTTTCTTTGCATAAACAGCTTCCTGGCAAATCTTCATTTCCTGTATAAATTCATTCATGTCCTTGATGGTAGCATAATAATTGTGTAGTAGTGTAGGATAACATAAATACACAGCATATGAATGAATAAATATATGAATGAATAAATATATGAATGAATAAATATATATATATATATATATGAATAAATATATATATGTAAATATATATATATGCCAACCAATCACGAGCGACTTTACTTGTTTAAAAAGAAGAGGTTCCGTCCAATACTCAGTAAGAAAATTAAAGCCTGGCGTGGCCACGTGTGGTTTTGCTGCCAATCACGAGCGATTTCATTTGTTTGAGAATAGTGGTTTCAGCCAATACTGAGAAGGTTATTCAAGCCAGACCTGGCCAGCCGCGCGGGTTTGCTGCATTCATATGCTAATTAGGGCCATTAGTACAGCTGATCGCTCTCCACATACGTCATGGTACGTTTCCGACAATTTGTGGCACGACAAACGCGGACAAGCGCGGGTTGCAAATTGTCGGAAACTGACGAAAATCAGGCAGATCTGCGGGAGTTTACGGGCGTTTACGGGGACGAAAATCTCACTTTTCATGCAGTGATTCAGAATTAACTCACTCGACAAACCATCTGACTGCCTGGCTAATCAAACTATCCATCTCTGCAGACATCAGTGATTCCATCCCCGGACCTGTGCCAGAACCAGTTCTTTTTTTCTCTGTGAAACCTTTCAATAAACTCTGTTAAACTTGTACTCTGCTTCCAGTGGTGTTCTGCATGTGGGTTAAGTCTCTTAAGCCAATCATGACACTTTTAGTTATCAGGCTCCTCTCCTGTGGAACCAACTACCAGTTTTAGTCCGTGAGGCAGACACCCTGTCTACTGTTAAAGGTAGGTGTAAAACTAACTATAGTTAAAAGGGCTCAGGTTATCCTGAGCTATCTCTGGGGGGAGTGGCAGTCTATTTGCTAGGACACAGGGCTTGGAATCCTGATGCTGTGGGTCATGGATATCCCCATCTATATAACAAAATGCATGCATCTAAGAAAAAAAATTTTTTTTTTTTCAAAGTTATAAAATAAAATGTTGGATTTTTAAAAATGACTTAACGCTGATATTAATGATAAATATGATCTGTTGTGCAGAAATTCAACATTTGCCGGTCTGTGTTTGTTTTGTTGAAATGAGAAAAATAATGGCTTTTAATTCAGCAATTTAATCAACACTTTATATTATGAATGTAGTATAGATATACAGATGGTAGTTGTGTGCAGGCATCCAGGTATTTGGTACATCACCCAAAAAAAAAAAAAAAAAATATATATATATATATATATTTCTTACCAGTCACAACCACAGCACACAGTAATGTGAGGTTAGCCTGTAAGAAACAAGAAAAATAATAGTGCAGGTTTCACCATCAACCCAGAAAAAATTTATTATTTACAGGTCCATGTATGTATTTTGTTACAGTCCTAAAATGATTCACAAAAACTATTTTCTTACCAGCCACAGAAGAGGTCGGCAGGGTTTTTTCAATCTAAAAAAAATGTTTATTAGTTAAACTACAAACACTGTATAAACATTGTAAGCAGTTTTTCTTAAATATTTATGTTATCATGATTAGTGCTGAATCAATTAATCAGACTAATCTTGATCATTCAATTATTGAAATAATTGTCAATTTAGTAATTGATTAATTGTTAACTGGAGAATAGAGACTCTAAAATATGGCTTTAGCTGACATAGAACCCCACTTTGAGCAATATTATACCACGACTGTAAAAACAAAAAGAACAAACACCTTTTTAGAATTTAAAATCCTCCTTCTCACATATAAAGCCTTAAATGGCCAAGCTCCATCTGATATCAGAGATCTGATTGTTCCTTATGTTCCTAACAGAGCACTTCGCTCTCAATCTGCAGGTTTACTAGTGGTTCCTAGAATTTCTAAAGTAGAATGGGAGGCAGATCTTTTAGTTATCAGGCTCCTCTCCTGTGGAACCAACTACCAGTTTTAGTCTGTGAGGCAGACACCCTGTCTACTTTTAAGGCTAGGCTTAAAACTTTCCTTTTTGATAAAGCTTCTAGTTAGAGTGGCTCAGGTTATCCTGATCTATCTCTATAGTTCTGCTGCTATAGGCTTAGACTGCTGGAGGACATAGGGACCCCTTTTTCATCATTCTGCTTCATTCTATCTCTATTCTCCCACTCTGCAGAATCTGTTAGTTCAATCTCTAACGTTCTGCTCTCTCTGCTTTTTCTCATAGTAGCTTCATCTGGTCTGTTCCTGTTTGGCTGTGACTCCATCCTGGAGAGAAATATCAGCTGTGCTGCTGCCATCAACACCTTTGTTTCTAGATGTTGGAGCTTGGCCTGTTTTCCAGTGTAGTCCTGTTTCTCTGACTGTGACTAACTGGATGTGCTCTCTTCATCCTCTGACATGGGAGCTGGCTCGGAGCTCGTCTGCCTGGCTGTGTGTTTCCTGGACGGGGCCGCCTGTGGAGCTGGTTGACAGTTGCCTTTTGTATCTATGCTTCTTTTTCTATGTCTGCTTCTGTCTCCTTGAACCCCAGTCGGCCTCAGCAGATGGCCGCTCACACTGAGCCTGGTTCTGCTGGAGGTTTCTTCCTGTTCAAAGGGAGTTTTTCCTCTCCACTGTCGCTACAAGCATGCTTAGTGTGAGGGATTGCTGAAGAGTCAATGCGTCGATGCAATCAGCTGGTTTTCTTTAGAGAGAAAACTTTGAATCAATTTGACTGGATGATCTGGTTGAACTGGAAAGTGCCTTGAGATGACATGTGTTGTGAATTGGCACTATATAAATTAACTGAATTGAATTGAATATTAGATTGTGCAAAACCCATCTTGAATAATCTTTGACCTGTATAGTGCACTCTGTGGAGGATTTTGTATTGTATTATTTGTAAATTGGGGTTTTTAGTCATGTTAAAAGTTCTTAGACATATCTGAGCCCAGATGTTTTGTTCAAAGCTGACTGATAATCCTCCTCCCATTTAGTAATAGGAAGAGATATTGTATCATCCAGTTTAGTCAGTGTCCTGTATAATTTAGACAGTAGTTTTTTTTTGGGGGGGGGGGTAACTCTAGGAACTCTGATATATTAGTTAGAATTTGAAAACCTCCTTCAATATGCTTAAATTTGTTTCTAGTTATAGATTTAATTTGTTCATATTCTAAGAATTTATTTTTGTTAATGCGATATTGCAAATGTAATCTAGCAAATGTGATAAACTCTGTTCCTTCAAATAAATGATCCAGATAGTTAATACTTTTATTCTTCCAGTACAAAAAGTTTATCATATTATTGTTTTGTAGAATGTCAGGTTTATTGCAGATGGGTGTACGACTGCATGGGATGAGTGATGATGTTGTCATTTTAAGAAATTCCCAACAAGCTGTCAGGGGAAAAAAAAATTGAGCAATCAAACATTAAATCAGCATATTTACAAACTATTTACATTAGGAACAGAAAGAACCTTGTTTGGAGGAGGTTTGTTAAAAAAAAAGAGAAAATCTGTTTCCTCCCCTGCAAAAAGTGCCACCTATTTAAAATTTTTAAAAACAACTCTTTGGGCTCCAATGGTTCCAAATTAAGTGTGACATTGCTGCTTTCCTACAGTAATACATACATCAAACTGAGGAGATGGAACCTGATCATTTTTTAATAGTCTCACTAAACAGGACTCTTCATCCAGTAGCCCTGAATTTGCTTCTTCTGGCTCCTCTGGGTGGTTGAACTCAGCAGCCTACCCCTCCTTTACCCTTCCTGCTTATTACTGGTGGTCTCTTGGGGAGCAATGTAGGGTTCAAGGAAGAACAGGACCACTAGGTACTGCTGCACCACTCCTCATTCTCTCTCTCTCTTCTTTAGCTCCCTAGCATACGTGTGCCTCAAAGTTTTACACCTCTTCCTGCACACATCCTCTGAACAAAATTATTTATTATTTTGTGAGCAATTAAAATGTATTTGAATTAAGTCTGTATTTCAAAATGCAATATGCACTTTATTTTATTTAACAGTACAGCTTTATTTGTTCCTATGTTTGAGAAATGAGTTAAGTTTACAGAGTACTTAGATTTTCTGTGTAATGTTCTGTAGTTTTGAGCTGCAACAGTGTTAATTGAAGCATAACACTTAATTTTTACCATGTTTAAATAATTATTGGCCAGAATTTAAAATGTTATTATTTAAATTGCTTGAAAAATACTTTAAAAAATATTTTGGACAAGCATGTTTTTTTTTTACATAACTTTAAAAAATTGCATTGCATAAATAAAATAAAATAATCAAAAATGCCCAAATAGGCTTTTAGACTTTCAGCAGTAAAAAGATCAAATATGCGATTAATCTGCGATTGATCTCAAGTTAATCTTTTAACGTTCCCAGGACTTTCGGCTGAGACCTCTTTGGAATGATAACACGTAGAGCAGAGGCCACGGATTAGCAGAACGCGGTCCGGATCCGGACCAATCTGCTGGCTAATCCGGACAAAACCTGATTTAAACCATTTATAAATTACCACATGTTGTACGATGACAGTGTCTAATTTCATTTCACTGTTTGTATGGTAAAGCCCTCCGGGACCAGGCTACACGTGATGCATATTAGCCAATGAGCTGAGTTAGTCTAAAGTAACAGATTATAATTAAAAATGTCTCCAGACCTTTACTGGTTGATGATTTTCTTTATTCGGACCCCGATGATTTATAATTGGTTATCCCTGGTTTTTAACATCTTGTTTGGGATTATAAAATAGCAAAATGCGGTGGTGTTTTTCCCTAAAAATGAGAGTTATTGTGCAGTATTTGTGCCTTTGTGGATTTTATACATTTGGAGCCATCAATTTGTCGGATTATCTTTTTTTTCTGGCTGTTTTGAGCAAAAAGACACCAAACTCGGAGGGAAATATAGGAATTTTCCCCTTGGAACAAGTAAAGGGTAAAACACGAACTTTTTGAGTTTTGTGTATCTCTAACATTTCTCTCGATAAAACGGCTGCTTCATATAGCATGCTTGGTATCATTGGAAAGAGGAGAACATGAGCTTCCTGTAGATTTGTGGACATTGTGGACTATGTTGACATTGAAATACTCTTAATGACGTGCTGAAAGTTTAAAAACCTACCTTGGGTTGCTGGAAGGTTATAGGGCTTTATATATATATATATATATATGTGTGTGTATAGTTGGTATGTACAGGTGGCGTTTACATATTAAAAGGCTCAGATATGCAATTAGAAGGTGTTCTAAGACACACCTATCAGCCAATCACGTGCTTGCCAACTGATACTGTTGGTTGACTTTATCTGATGAATGAGTAGTCACATTGTAATACCACTGGGGTGGACCCCCTGCTAGCTGCTGTAGATAGCATAGTTGTAATAACTAGGTTCTGTGTAATAGTACAAATGTAGATCTGTGAGTCACATGCACAGTGTAATGAGTGGGATCCTCTGTCAACAGGCATTGCTGAGGGAAGGTGTTACACCAACCTAGGCAGAAATATTCAAATTAACAAATTATCTTTTTATTGCATAGCTGTCTTTCCAGGTGATCTAAAGAAATTTCGATGACTCTTTCTCATTCAGGTCCTTTGTAAAGTACCAAATGGTCACATTTTCTTCAATTCCTTTTTGATTTCCACAAATTCTCATTCAAAAGATGTTATTTAGTAGCTTGAACTCCACTCTTTTGGGACTGGGTTGATTAGCAGAAAAGGACCATGGGGGGATGGTTTCCTGGTTTTGCCATGGCCTGCCACAAATACTTAGTGCTTAAAATTTTGATGTCTGATGTAGCAGTTGCAGCATTTGTGTTTCAGATGCTACATCTACTCCTTGGTGTTCCCTGCCTTTCCCTTATGCTGGTGCTTGAAATACCTACATAACTGTGGTGCCATCAGCGGCGTAATATTGCAAAATCATAAAAATCCAAAGTGAGCTAGAAAATTACGAGGAAATATTGCCTTCCTTTACAGCAGAGGCTCTGAATGAACCCATAAAATTATGAGCAGTTTTTATGATGGCCCATTGAAGTAGATGCTTGTATATTGATGGTTCACAGGCTGTATCCCTCTTCCCACATGCAGGGGAAGAGCTGAGAAAGCGCCGCTGTGTAACTATTTTTCATGCATTTAATATATTAATTATCTGGAAAACGTTCCCTAGGCAGTGCTTGAGAAAGCAGAGAGTGACAGCTATTCAATAAAGCGTATGATGTAGCCCAACAGGCCAAAGTGTTTTAGGGGGTAAAGGTCACTTTAGGGTTAATGTTGCTTTTTATTTATATATGTAGGGCTTGTAGTAAGGGAAAAAGAGAGTGTAGGGCATTTGTGTGAGGAGAATGTAGATGACAGCAGGAGGGTTTTTATTTTTTTTTTTTTTACTTTTTATTTAGTATTTTTCAAGTTTACATTAAAGCAAACAAACAAAAAAAGAATATGAACAGAGAAGGACAATAAAAATACAGCAAAGGTATAACAGAGTCCAAGTTTAGTGAATGTGGGGGTCACACATGTCTTAAAAAGATTTATCTGTCGTTCCAGTCTTATTGAGGAGAAGTCCTTTCCGATTTGTGTAATCAAACCATTTCCTTCACTGTTCTTTCAGGTATTTGTACTTGATCCTTAGTTGGTAGGTCATTTCCTCCATTGTGAAGATTTCTTCTACTATTAAAATCCATCGCGTCAGGTGTGGAGGGTCACTTTTAAACAATTTTCTGGTAATCGGTTTTTTAGCTGCCGCTATCAAGATTTTGAGAAGATAGATGTCTTTCCGGTGTATTCCTTCACTCTCCAGCCAGCCCAGGTACATCACTGGTGGGTCCTTGGGTATCTTGTATCTTATTATTTCTTCTGTAGCCTTTACAACTTGATCCCAGAAGGTTTGCATTTTTGTACATTGCCAAAATATATGAGAGTGACTGGCATTCATCTGTCCACATTGCCTCCAACATTGTTGTTGAGTATGGAATAATTTATTTTGTTATTGAGGTGTTATAAAGTAGCGTATTAAATTTTTCCATCCAAATTCTCTCCAGCCTCTAGAGCTTGTGGAGGACTGTTGTGTTTTGCACATTGAAAGCCAGTCACTCTTTGACAGTTTCACTTTCAACTCTCCTTCCCATTTGGACTTTATATATTACCAAGTACCAAGCCGAGGTCAAAGGATCTGACTCGCCCAGCTCCTGTCAAAATCTCTAATTTTTCTTCCTCTGAAGGAGCGGAAGGCGAACCCAGGCAAATTGAACACCAGGCTATCCCCTGAAGAGAGGCAACGAAGATTCAAAGCAAAACTGTGCCTGTAC